CATATTCACTCAGGAATGCATATGTGTGCAATTCATAGAGGTAGGCTGAGAGAAACGTTGCAAAGCTGAGTGCAGACGGCCCCAGGGAATGATGCTGAGATAATACGGCCCTGGGCAGGAAAAGGCACTTTCTGGAAGGCACTCTGTCTTCTGTTTCTTAGGACAAAACCTGGATCTCTGCATGCCTCAACCACTCTACACCAGCCTGAAGGGAAAGGGCAGCTTCTGGCAGGAGCCAAGGCGAGATGGTTCCTAGGGGATATAGCAGACCAGGTTGTCCTGAGAGAATGCAACCTGCACCTTGCAAGGTGGGATCTGATAGAGCAGGGCGCAGGGGACAGGCTGCGCTTGCAGAAGGTCCTCAAGTCTTGCATGGATGCTTAGCCCAGTAACATGAGGATAGTATCCACATTAAGAGGGACAGTTTCAAGTGTCACATGTCTCTGCCAACAGATCAGTCTTAAACCGTAGCTATTGCATTTTTTAAAGTGCCATAAATATTAACTGTAGGAAAAATTGAATTCTGCAGTGCCTTGGGTCCATGTGCATGTCTTAGCCAGCTTTTCCATGTCTGTCCAGGGACGCTGATGTGCTCTTTCCTCCATCTGGGGACTCGATGACCAGAGTGCAGGCTGTGGTGACATCTAGTGGCTTCGCTCTCATGTTGACTTTGGAGATTTCTCCCTCAGTTTTTCTTAAAGGTCAGCCCCAAAAGGCAAATTTCCTAGATATTGTATTTCTTTTCCTTCTCTTGTCACTGATAACTTGCCACCCCTCTGTGCGCAATGCCTCCTCCCTGGGCAGGGCTGTGGTAGTTACCATCTTCCCAGAGGGAGGCCAGGGATCTCCTCCCGTCTCCCCGGTGCCTGCCCCATCCAGACAGTGAGTCTTGGGTCATGGAAAACATTCTGCAGCTTGTCCCCAAACAAGCAGTCCTCTCAGAGGTGGCTCGCCTGCACAGGGGGACAGACGTCACTTCTGAAAAGGTGTTTTTCACCTACTACATAACAATCAAAACTTACTTTCTTTCTTTTTGGGACAGTTTCACTCTTGTTGCCGAGGCTGGAGTGCAATGGCACAATCTTGGCTCGCTGCAACCTCCACCCTCCACCTCCCGGGTTCAAGGTTCTCCTGTCTCAGCCTCCTGAGTATCTGGGATTACAGACAGGCACCACCACGCCTGGCTAATTTTTGTATGTTTAGTAGAGATGGGGTTTCACCATGTTGGCCAGGCTGGTCTCTAACTCATGATCTCAGGTGATCCACCCACCTCGGCCTCCAAGTGCTGGGATTACAGGCATGAGCCACCTCGCCCAGCCAAAACTTACTTTTTTATTCTTTTAATTGTGGCAAAATACACAGAACATCACACTTACCTTAACCACTGTTAAGTGTACTGTTCAGTAGTAAGTGCATTCAGATTGCTGTGCAACCAATCCCCAGAGCTTTTGCTTCTTGAAAATCTGAACTACTGCCCCCATCAAACCCATTTATGCCTAGTATTCCATTAGTGGAACGCTAAGCATGTGGGAGTTACAAACATCCTACTGCTCAAGATCATCGCCAAGGTCTGATTGCAAAAATTCAAAAAATTGCAACCTCAGGAATGAATGGGTTACAGGACCCATTCTCACTCCCATTCCCCTCTCATCCCAGCCCCTGGCAACCACTCTTCTACTTTCTGTCTCCATGAATGTGACTTCCCTAAGTATCCCACATGTGTGAGATCATGCAGTATTTATCCTTTTGTGACCGATTTGTCATTTCACTTAGCATCATGTCCTCAAGATTCAGCCATGTTGTAGCATGAATCAGAATTCCTTTCCTTTCTAATAAAGGAATAAAATTCCATTGTATGCACAGACCATATTTTGTTCACCCCTTCACATGTTGATAGATGCCTGGCTTGCTCCCACCTTTTGGTTGTGGTGAATAATTCTTCAATGAGGGTGGATGTACAAATGTGTCTTTGAGACCTTACTTTCAATTCTTTTGGGTATATATCCAAAAGTACAACTGCTGAATCATATGGTAATTCTACTTTTAATATTTTGAGGAGCTGCCATGCTGTTTTCCATACAAAATTTATTCTTAATGCATTTCTTCCACAATCAGCATTCTAACAGTGATAACATGAATAAAATCTCCATCTCTTCTTAAATTAGGCTGATTACTGTTTTGGGTGGATAGGGCTTCTAATGGTCTGTTCGATTGTATTCAAAGTCTAAACAAAGGCAATGCTGAGCCACATTCATTTAGGTACAAAATCCGTTCTAGAAAGTTGCGAGAATTTGGTCGTTTCTGGATTTTTTTTTTAATGGACACACACACACATCTCCTCAACGCTATCTGCTTTGAAAGCAAAGAGTAACACAGACCTGACCAGGATTTTGCCTGGGCTGGTTCAGTGGAAATAACTTTTGCATCAGGAGGACTTGAGCTCAAAGCTTGGCTTAGCTCCGTGCCAGGTATGTGACTGGGCAAGTTATGGAACTTCTCTGACCTTCAGTAATAACATTTACCTTGCAGGGCTGTGCCGTGCCTGGAGTCCGCAGATGGGGTAATGATGGTCATCACTGGTGTTTCAGATGTCTTTTTGAAGCTGGGGCGTGTGCGTGGAAATAATGGAGAACATGCCTGTTCCTGAACGATGATGATGTCCATGTGGATTGTGGGCTTTGCTGTTTATCATGAGTTCACATGTGTAGACATTAACTCAAATCAAAGCAGTTTGTCCTCTATTTCATTTGTCAAAATAACCCATAAGACACAGGTGATTTTCCCCTCAGATTTCTGAAAATACTTTAAGCTAAAAATACAAAAGACAGGGCAGCCCTCTGCCCTCAACTCCCAGTGTATACCCAGTTTGGGTTCTCAAGGATGGAGAGGACTTGGACATTTAAGCAAGCTGCCCTGGAGTCCCCCTGGGAGGCAGTGCCTACCCCAGGGGACCCACGATACTCAGAGGTGGTGGGCTCAGGTGAGAACTAATCCCACAGAAACCAGGGCATTTAGTCCCGCTTTGAGTGCACTCTATGCTTATCTCACCTTCATTCCTTTTTTTTTTTTTTTTTGAGACGGAGTCTCCCTCTATCGCCCAGGCTGTGCAATCTCCGCCTCCCAGGTTCAAGCGACTCTTCTGCCTCAGCTTCCCAAGTAGCTGGGACTACAGGCACGCACCACCACGCCCAGCTAATTTTTGTATTTTTAGTGGAGATAGGGTTTCACCATGTTGGCCAGGTTGGTCTTGAACTCCTGACCTCAGGTGATCCACCCGCCTCTGCCTCCCAGAGCGCTGGAATTGTAGGCGCGAGCCACTGTGCCCTACCTCTCCTTCACACGTTGTCATCTTGCATCAGCAATAATCCTATTCCCAGATGTTCTAGGAAGTAAACTTCCAGCAAGGATAGCACACGAGGTCGCCCCTCACAAAGGCCATAGTCATGACTGTCTTCCAAGTGTCTCAGCGTTCACATTTTAAAAATTCCTTGAACTAAAACAAAATGCGCAAAGAGATCACCAAATCAAATAACTTTAGTTTGGTTCCAGGTTCCAGGAAAACACACACACACACACACACACACACACACACAGATACTTCAGCAAAAGAGATCTGTTTGTTCTAGTTTTGGTTCCGAGTTAGTTGGTGTTTTAGGACTTTCTAATCAAGGCTAAGATCCATGTTTTCACATCCTACACTCAGCATAACTCCAGCTTCGACTTCGGTTTCAGTAACAGAGACATCGTGGGCAGGCTCTTCTTCAGGGCCATCGCGAGAACAGCCCTCCTGCGCCCTGTTCAGGATACTTACCAACTGGAAGCTGGCCCAGGAAACCGTGCAGAGACTAATATTCTCTTTCTGCCTCATGAATAAATGGATGATGATTTGGGGTCAGAGCTGGAAACACAAAGACAGCAATAGAAACCTATTCTTTCTAAGATAAAGCTGGGCATAAATAGATTGTTATTTTAATGTTTTACTGGCACTTTAAACATGCTGTATGTCATTTTTAAAAGGCAAATGTGGAAGGTTCTCTTATTTCTCAGGCAAGATGAAGCCAAGTGTGGAGTCGAGTTTTCCGTAGGGCTCCTTTCTGTCTCTCATCTTTTACTCAAAAGCATGCATCTGTCTTCTTAGGGCCTCTCCCATGTGTGCCCAGTTTTTGTCTCACTTCTCTCACCCTCACCCCCTTCCACTCCCACACCCTTACCTGTCCCCCAGTCTGAGCACTTCACTCTCCTGTTGAAAAGCAGCTCGCCACTGCCTTCAGGATCAACGGAATCTTTACGCAGACATAAAAGGCAAAAAGGCAGCCATATGTTCTGGTCCAGCCAAGCCGGGGGGCCCTCCCACCTCGCCCCCGGCCTGTGGTCCCTGCAATCTGACGTGCTCCCCGTCCCCAGATCTTCTGTGTCTGTGCCCTTTCTCTGCCTGAAATTTCCCTCCTCCCCCAGCTCACTGCCACCCACACAGGTAGCACCCACACAAGCAGTCTGTCCTGATTCTCTCCCACCAATCGGTCCTTGGGCCTCCTTCTGGTGAACATCCTGACACCCAGAGCCTCTCTGCCACACCGGTGACCACGGTGATCTGGGTTGGGCAGGGCTCCCTCAGGCAAGGACCTCCTGCAGTCTGTTTCTCTGTCACCGGATGTGGTGTGAGACGAATTGATAGGTGTTCATGTTTTCTGTTTCTCTTTCTTGCAGGCAATACACAAGGGAAATCCCTTTGTTTTCGAGAAGCATCTCTCACACACAGACACGTGCACACATGCACATCTGTCTAACCTGTTGCTCCAAAATGCAGCAAGAGAAAAGCAGCCTAGTCCTCATTGATTTCAGCAGTTAGGTGGTCCTGGGGCATGAATGTGGGTGCGCCAGGGTGCCTCGGCCCACCTTCATTCCTTGTTTGCCCTGCAGATTCGCAAGGGGCCCCAATGCTTTGGGGTCCAAGCCCTCCTATCCTGCCTCTGACTGTCTCGTGTGGTCTGGCTCCACAGGACTTGTCCTACAAGGACCGGCACTGGCATGAAGCCTGTTTCCACTGCTCGCAGTGCAGAAACTCACTGGTGGACAAGCCCTTTGCTGCCAAGGAGGACCAGCTGCTCTGTACAGACTGCTATTCCAACGAGTACTCATCCAAGTGCCAGGAATGCAAGAAGACCATCATGCCAGGTCAGGAGACACACCTTTCTCATGCGTGAGCCAGTCTAGCTTCAGGCCTTGCGCACGTTCCTCTGACCCCCTGTTCACATTGACTTGGTTCCAGACACTCGCGTTGACTTTCCATTTTTACCTTGAATTACAGAGGAGTATTTAGAGTCCTTACAAAGCAGGCACATACGGGTTCTATCATGGGCAGTAACGGGATCTTTTTGCTATGCACATGGCGCAGTGTTATGCAGTCAAATTGTTAGAGTAAGTGAATGGTGGGCATTCCCCTTAAAAATACGTCTCCTGCATCAGCCCCCACTTTCCCACCACCATAGATGGTTTCTCTTTTCTTCGCTTCTACCTGCTAAATGTGTACTCATTCAGTTATTTCACCAAGTGTGCATGGTGCTCTTGCGTGCCAGGCACTGGGCTCAAGCCGAGCATCCATGGGGTGTGAGCCGAGGTGCACTTGGTTCTCTGCCCTTGCGGAGTTGGTGTTCTAGATGGATAGTCAAAAAGGGCACAGCTGCGACTGGGCCAGATGCCGAGGACGGCAATAAAGGTGCCTTGTGTGTTGATAGGACTGTGTCCCTCATGGGGTGTGTGTGTGTGTGTGTGTGTGTGTGGCGGGGGGAGTTATTTGGTTTTTTGTTTTGTCTTTTATGTGAGAGGGCAGAATCTTTTATTTTGAAAAGCAAAGGGGACAAAAAGATACGGAATTTCAAAATACAGAAAGAAGCTGGGCATCGTGGCTCATGCCTGTAATCCCAGTACTTTGGGAGGCTGAGGTGGGTGGATCTCTTGAGGTGAGGAGTTTGAGATCAGCCTGGCCAACACGGTTCAGTGGTGCAATCTTGACTCACTGCAACCTCTGCCTCCCAGGTTCAAGAGATTCTTCTGCCTTAGCCTCCTAAGTGGCTGAGGCTACAGGTGTGTGCCACCACACCTGGCTAATTTTTGTACTTTTAGTAGAGACGGGGTTTCATCATGTTGGTTTGGTTTGGTTTTGATAATAAAGAAATACTGAAGAGACTGACATATAGGAAATAGTTTTAAAAGATATGTAGGATGCCAGGTGTGGTGGCTCACCCCTGTAATTCCAGCACTTTGCAAGGCTAAGGAGGGGGGATCATGAGGTCAGGAGTTTGAGACCAGCCAGGCCAACATGGTGAAATCCCATCTCTACTAAAACTACAAAAATTAGCCGGACATGGCAATGTGCGCCTGTAGTCCCAGCTACTCGGGGGGCTGAGGCAGGAAAATTGCATGAACCCGGGAGGTGGAGGAGGTTGCAGGGAGCTGAGATTGTGCCACTGCATTCCAACCTGGGTGACAGAGTGAGACTCCATCTTGGAGGAAAAAAAAAAAAAAAAAGACATGTAGGATAAGGAATCATCATTTTTAAAAAGGCAAGGAGGTTATTTGACCTTCAGTAAGATGGTTTCTTACTGCTACTACATTTCTCTGGTTAATACAACTTAAAAACAACTGTGACACACTATGACAGGGAAGAAAAATGCCCAGGCTGACACAACCCCAGCTCTGTTGGCAGCTGTAAGGGAAGACAGGTGGCGGGGCTGCATGGTGACTTTAGATGAGGCAGCTCCAGGCAGGAAGGCCTCGTCCAAGATCACATGGGTCCTGCAGAGGCTGGAAACTCGGGCCCCAGTGCTGTGCCACACTGCGAATGAGAACCGAAGCCCGTAGAAAGCCAGGCTGACCTGTGTCCTGCCCCACAGGGAGTCACTGCAGAGACACAGCACTCTCAGTAACAGTAAGAACCACAACATTAATTGAAAAACAAATTAAACCCTTACTGGTTTCCTGAACAAGGGCCCAAGGAAGCTTCCACTGGGGAGTCTAGGGGCTATTTAAGACTTTAACTGTTAGCACCAACCATGACATAAAAAGTATGCATATTTCCCGGATTTTGAATTTTTCACCTGTCTTGACTTTCTGTGTTTGTTAAGTTCTCCAGAGAAACAGAATCAATTGCAGAAATATATACACATAGATACGTATATATGGGGGGAGAGAGAGAGAGAGAGAAAGATGAGAGAGAGAGAGAGAAAGATGAGAGAGAGAAAGATGAGAGAGAGAGAGAGAAAGATGAGAGAGAGATGAGAGAGAGACAGAGATGAGAGAGAGAGAGAAAGATGAGAGAGAGAGAGAGAGAAAGATGAGAGAGAGAGAGAGAAAGATGAGAGAAAGATGAGACAGAGAGAAAGATGAGAGAGAGAAAGATGAGAGAGAGAAAGATGAGAGAGAAAGATAGAAAGATGAAAGAGATAGAGAAAGATGAGAGAAAGACGAGAGAGAGAGAGAGAAAGATGAGAGAGAGAGAAAGATGAGAGAAAGATGAGAGAGAGAGAAAGAGGAGAGAGAGAAAGATGAGAGAGAAAGATAGAGAGAAAGATGAAAGAGATAGAGAAAGATGAGAGAAAGATGAGAGAGAGAGAGAGAAAGATGAGAGAGAAAGATGAGAGAGAGAGAAAGAGGAGAGAGAGAAAGATGAGAGAGAGAGAAAGAAAGATGAGAGAGAGAGAGAGAGAGAGAGAGAGAAAGATTTATTTCAAGGGATTGGCTCATGAGATTGTGGAGGCGGTAAGTCTGGAATCTGTAGAACAGCCCAGCAGGCTGGAGGCTCAGGGAAGAGATGATACTGCAGTTCCAAATGGGAGCGTTTGAATTCCATAGGGCAGCAGGCTGGAAACTCAGCCAGGGTGTGTCTATTGCAGTCTTGAGAAGAATGAGTTGCCCTTAGGGAAACCTTAGTCTTTGCTCCTAAGGCCTACCACTGATTAGATGAAGCCCGGCCCTGATATGTGGGTAATGTGCTGCACTCAAAGCTTACTGACTTAGACGTTAATCACATCTAAAAAACGCCTTCACGGCAACAAATAAACCTGTTTTTTTGACCAAACAACTGGGTACCAGAGCCCAGCCACACTGACACATAAAATTAACCATCACACCTTCTCTTTCTTGTGGTGTTTACTGGGGAGGGAAAGAAAGGAAAAACATGATCAGATAAGAAGTAAAAGCCCAATGTTCAGTGAGGGGTAACCCATACTGAATATCTGAGAATTAACTGGCCAGCAGTCTCTTCTACTAAGGAATGAGGGAAGCTGGAATTCAGGCTCTGTGGTAAGAAATGCTGTGCAGTAATAATAACAACACAGCCACAGCTACCGGCCCCTGAGCACACACAGAGGGGTCGGACACTGCTGCTTTACCGAATCCCATTTAATCTTCAGTGTCCCCTGGGTTGGATGGCTTCATCCCCATTTTACAGGTGCCTCCGCCAGAAGAAATGGACTGGGCACCAAAAGCAGGGCTTCTAGAAGAATCCTGGTGTATGCAAAACAAACAAACCACCACCAACAAAACGCTGAATGAAAGCACTTGCCTGCCTGGGTTTGATTTTTAAAAGTGTTCGAACCCATTTAAGATGAATATGGGTTACAGCGTCAGTGCACACAGCTTTTGCAGTGAATTTACATTTAGAGGACGAGTGAAAAAACTCAACCCGCCAGCGCCACACCCCTACACAAGTCAGTGTCCTGATGACTAACAGGAAACTGCAGTACCATCAGAAACCCCAGTGCTGGGGTTTACCAGCTCTCGCGCCCCTATTAGCAGACATTGCTTACAGATGCACCACAGCCTCTGCGCATGCGCAGACTCCAGTAGCGATAGTGTCTCCAACCCTGCAACCAAATTTCTGGCTCCTCATTTGCCTTTTTTTTTTTTTTTGAGACAAGATCTCGCTCTTTCGCTCAGGTGGGAGAGCAGTGGTACGATCACTGCTCACTATGGCCCTGACCTCTCGGGCTCGAATGATCCTCCCACCTCAGCTTCCTACGTACCTGGGACCTCAGGCACACACCACCACACCCAGCTTAATTTGTTGTTTTTTTTATGTTTTTTGGTAGAGACAAGGACTCCCTATGTTGCCCAGGCTGGTCGCCAACTCCTGGGCTCAAGAGATCTCCCGCCTTAGCCTCCCAAAGTGCTGGGATTACAGGTCTGAGGCACCGCAGCCAGCCTAATTTGACTATTTGAATCCGATTAAGACATCCCTTCCTCAAGACTGCGCTTCGGTCTGCGGGAGACTTGGTTCAGAGTGTGCGATTCAGGGCGGAGAAGGAACGCCCCTGCCACCTGCCGGCGTTGCTGCATATGACCACGCAGGCCTGTGGCCAAGGCTGTCACCTTGCCTGAGATGTGCACGCGCCACCTCCCTGAGGCTCCAGGTGCCCCGTGCATTCCCTGCACGTAGAGTTGCCCTCGAACTGGTGTTGATCTGATAAGACTTATTTCAGAACTCGCCAAGAATGTCACAAGAGTCATAATTGCCCCATATTCATTGGCAAAATCCTTTGGCTTCTGGGCTGCTTGATCAGAATGAAGGTCAGAGATCCAAAGAGCAAGTGACAAAAGTATGCATGGAAGTGGAAGAAAATCTTTGTGAAGTGTGTATCAAAGTCCTTCCACTATTTTTACTTGAATTTCCATTGCTTCACGTAATGTTCGTTTTAGGATTCATCACCCCACAATCGAATTCCATAGATTGTACAGTTTAGTTTTCAATTTTAAGATCACTGCGTGTCATCAACCCAAATTCCCTCTCACACATTGCCCCCCACCACACACCCCGCTTATTTTATATAATCTCAAATGTCTGGTCTTGGAAGGACAGGAAGCTGAGAAAATGATCCTAAATAACAATCATGTGATAATTCTCAGTACATTCCTAATTACTGGAGGACAGACATTTCCTGACCAGCTTTCTAGCCAGCTAAAATAAAACCCCTAGCTTTGTCCTTGGGACCATGAGATTTTGGGGCTGAGAGCTACGAACTAGTCTATAGACTCCTATAAGCCACCTGTGTTACTGCAGCTGCTTACACCTGGTCTGGCGCGGGCAGTCCCCCTGTCGGCTTGATTCCCCATCACTCCCTGACCGCTAGTAGAAGTCACATGTATGTGACCCTCATGCCGCAGTCCCCAGGGATTGGCAACATTTTTCCTTCAAAAACCAGATAAATATTTGGGGCTTTGTGAACCATACAGTCTCTGTCACAACTACTCAACTACCACAACTACACAACAACTCTGCACAACTGCACACAGTTGCACACTACTCTGCCATCTAGCATGAAAGCGGATGGAAATCATGGAAGTAAATGAATGGGTGTGGCTGCATTCCAATAAAACTTCATTTGAAAAGCAGGCAGCAGTCTGGATTTGGTCCTCACACAGGGGCCAGGCCCCTCAGCTAGTCCGGGCACTTACAACACTTTCCTGTTTCTTTGTCCCTGATACTCATTTCCCCAGATCTTTCTTTACATTTGCTTTACACGAAGGGTACTTGTTTACATGCCTATCTGGAATCATCTCTTACTATAAATAGATACACTTCTTTCTGGTAAACAAAAATGAAAAAAATGTCAGTCAACAAACACTGGGCATTTGTAGTGAGTCCAGCTTGGTGGTGGCAGGGGTGACCCGTAAGTGTTTCAGTTCTCTAGAGCTCCTCAGTTCACTTGGAGAAATGGTAGAAATGTATCAAATGCTAATAGTTACTCAAAAGACAATGGATGGCATGGGTTTAGGCAATTACTAAATGGGAGGTACAAGTAACACATGAAGATTGCAGCCAGGCATGGTGGTGTGCATCTGTAGTTCCAGCTCCTCAGGTTGATTCAGGAATTTCCCTGGAGCCCAGATGTTCAAGGCTGCAGTGGGCCAGGATCATACCACTGCACTCCAGCCTGGGTGACAGAGCGAGACCCTGTCTCGAAAATAAAAAAAACTACATGGAGGTTTTAATTATAGCACTTAGCACAGTGCATAAAATTACCAAGATACATCACAACTTGGTTCAACAGCCAGTACGTAAAGTGAGTGTTGTAGAGGCTGCTCACTGAATCAGGTTAGAGGTTCCAGGTTCATTCACACTCCAGCCATTTCCATCCTGCTGCGAACCAGACAGGGCGTTCTTTATTAGGTGTGCGGTAGGTGAATACAGTCCCTAGACTCCAAAAGTCATGCTCCATAGAAATTAATCGGAGCTATGCCACACTTCCCTTTATACTTTGCATTGCTGAGGCAGACTTAACTTTTTTTCGATTTAACATTCCTAACCACGGTTTTCAATAAATAAATGTTAAGTACCTAAAATGTACACGTGTTGTTCTAGGAGCTGGGTGTACAGTAGTGAACCAAGAGATAAAGTCCATGCCCTGTACAAAATAGGAATTACCTCCATTTAGAGGTGAGCCTTCAAGAGCTGAAGTCACTTGCTCTGGTCATAAAACTAGAGAGTGGCAAGCTCTGAAGGCAATTGCTGGGACTCCACGCCCCTCTAAGCATAACTCTGCTGTGTTCCTCTTGACCCTGATGACAGGTACCCGCAAGATGGAGTACAAGGGCAGCAGCTGGCATGAGACCTGCTTCATCTGCCACCGCTGCCAGCAGCCAATTGGAACCAAGAGTTTCATCCCCAAAGACAATCAGAATTTCTGTGTGCCCTGCTATGAGAAACAACATGCCATGCAGTGCGTTCAGTGCAAAAAGGTATTTCAGATTCCCCCTTGGCCCTTGCACATTCTGGCCGGTTTGCCTCCATGGTCCATGTCTGTCAGTTCTCTTTCCAAAAACAAGGATACCTGTGATACTGGAATGGCGTGGGAGCTGTGCCTGTCCTGCCTTACATGCCGAGCTTTATCCATTGGGTCTGGGCGCCCATCCTTCTTTCAAAAACATCAACGCTGTTGAGGTCCTGTGATCAAATCGCTTAACCCTGCCTTCTTCTAGGCCATTTCTAGATATATTCTTATGTTGATGACCTGATGTTAGAGGGAAGGGGAGCCACTATCCCAAAGCTGTCTTGTTCAGCTTCTCTCCATGAATAAAACAAGAAAACAACTGCAAACTTGAGAGGGAGAGAAAGATGGAAGGAAGAGGGGGAGAGGAAGGGAGGGAGCAGGGAGGAGAGAGAGACGGATGTGAGAAGAAAAGTAAAGGAGAAAAGTCTGCCCCTGTGGATATGGGACAGATCATTTATTAAATGTATCTACTCTGACCAGGCAAGGAGGCTCACGCCTGTAATCCCAGCACTGTGGGAGGCCAAGGCTGGTGGATCACCTGTGGGAGGCCAAGGCTGGTGGATTACCTTAGGTCAGGAGTTCAAGACCAGCCTGGGCAACATGGTGAAACTCCATCTCTACTAAAAATACACAGCTTAGCTGGGCATGGTGGTGCACACCGGTAATCCCAGCTACTCAGGAGGCTGAGGCAGGAGAATTGCTTGAACCCGGGAGGTGGAGGTTGTAGAGAGCCAAGATCGCACCACTGCACTCCAGCCTGGGTGACAGAGCGCAATGCCATCTCAAAAAATTTAAAAAATAAAAATAAATAAACTTATCTACTCGATCTGTTCCAGTCATGGCTCTGTTAGGGTTAAAGAAAGAAAGGGAACTGCCTATCTGTAGGAAGCCAACTCTCTGCCCAGTTGCCCCCCGACCTGTGCCCGTCAGGGTGGAGCTTAGTTTTCTGCTGTGCCCTCTGACTCTCACACACACACAACTCTGATTATGCTGTAGCTTCCAGCGTCTCTGTGCTGTTAGGCTTTGCATCAGCCTGTTGAGTGGCACCCTCCCACGGCTCACTCGCCCTGGGCAATGCCAGCTGTGGAACTCATTGCAGGTTCTGTTTGCTCTCATCCTCTCATTGACCCTGCTCACGCAGCTTCTGCTGTGTTGCCCTTGGGGCCTCTACCCTTGCCTCTGGGCCAGGGAGAAACATCCCAGTGCTTCTACCTGTACCTGGCTGGCCTGGGCAAGAATGTCCCCCTTGCCTGCACCTTTTCTAAGTGCTGAGTATTCTTACCAATTTCCATTCAGCCTTTCTCTCTTGTTTCCATTTGTTCTTTTTTTTTTTTTTTTTTGAGACAGAATCTCACACTGTCACCCAGGCTGGAGTACGGTGGCACGATCTTGGCTCACTGCAGCCTCTGCCTCTCCAATTCAAGCGATTTCTTTTGCCTTAGCCTCCCAAGTAGATGGGATTACAGGCAAGCGTCACCATGCCTGGCCGACTTTTTTGTATTTTTAGAAGACACAGGGTTTCAACATGTTGGCCAGGCTGATCTCGGAACTCCTGACCTCAGGTGATTGACCTGCCTCTGCCTCCCAAAGTGCTGGGATTGTAGGTGTGAGCCACTGCGCCCAGCCCCTTTTGTTCTTTACTGTTATTTTAAATTTTATTTCTCTTAATTTCCTCTCCATTTATGCTTGTTTTTTTCTTTTTTTGGAGACAGTTTCACTCTGTCACCTGCGCTGTAGTGCAGTGGCATGATCTCAACTCACTGCAACCTCCGCCTTCCGGGTTCAAGCGATTCTCCTGCCTCAGCCTCCTGAGTGGCTGGGATTACAGGCAGGCGCCACCACCACACCCACCTAATTTTTGTGTGTGTGTGTGTGTTTCTTTTTTTTTAGTAGAGACGGTGTCTCACCTTGTTGGCCAGACTGGTCACGAACTCCTGTTTTTTTCTTTATTCTTAGATTGAGGTCTCATTCCTGCTTTTATTTTAGGAACTCTCTTCCCTGTTCTCTCCCCTTTTTATTTTCATTTTGGTTTGTTTTTCTCATCAAGACCTAACAGAAGTTCATCTGAATTGCTCTTCCTCTGTCATCTTTCCAGTGTGTGCTTTATTCATTTGCAGAAATGAAAGCAACACATCCTTCTGGGATGCATTGCCTTTTGTGCGCATGTTTGTTAAATACACACAAAAACCTTCACGCCAGAAGCATCCATTCCTCGACATGAACTTGGCCCTCTCAGGCACTGGGGATCCGATGCTGGACAAGATGCAGACACTTAACTGTAGTCTAGCTGGAAGTACACTCCAGTGTCAAACCCATCAGTCGTTACAAAGCAGTGTGCTATGGAGGAGAAAAGCAGAGTGTGGAATGGAGGGACCTCAACTAATCTGAGGAGTTGGGGGCCAGGGTGGCGTTTAGGGAGGGAGTCTCTGAGAAAATCATGCTATGCTGAGAGGCATCGAGTTAGCTGATGTGGGTGGGAAGCATGGAATCCGGAGTGAGGGAGGACTGAGGATGGATGTTGCAGGCAGAGAGACGTCTTACACACACAGGCTACTGCATGCATACGGATGCGTTGCCACCAAGCGTGTTTTGTGTTCATTCTCTTGTGCGGTGGGGTGGGTTATAGGAAGATGCTTTATGATTCATGGTTTAATGAAAAGAATACAAGATAGAAGGGAGTCTGGAATTCTAGCTCCTGCTTTGTCATTAACCAGCTATGAATTCTTCAGCAAGTCACTTTTTAATTTCTCTGAGTCTCAGTTTACTCACCCATAAAATTAGTATCTTTCTTACTTCACAAGCTTTATGTAAAGACCAAAGGAATTACTGGATGATACTGAAATGTTCAAAAAATAAAAAGCAAAACAGCGTGATTGTGAGGTGCTTGCACTCCATCTTCCATGGCCTTCGTTTGCCAAGCTGAGGCCACCTACACTCCTCTGATAGCTTACTCAGCTCCACCAAGCACGCATTTTTAAACAGAATGTGAGATGCAACATTTGGAGAAAAATACCAGGTAAAATTGAGGTACTGATGGCCGTTCCACCTTGTGTGGCTTTGCAGCTTCACCTCACAGATGTTCTAAGACCACAAGACAGGTGAGAATGAAGGCATCTGGCTTATTTTTCCCAAAACTTCCAAGATGCCCATATCTTCTCATGGCATCAGCAGGTGCCAGTCCCAGCTGTCCTTTAAGCCTTTTCCTTCTTTCACCATAAGTGGCTGGAGAGACAGGCTCGTGAGTGGCATTGGAGAGGTTCCCACTTGCCAGGGTTTTTGTTTTGTTTTTGAGACAGAGTCTCACTCTGTTGCCCGGGCTGGAGTGCCGTGGCATGATCTTGGCTCACCACAACCTTCGTCTCCAGGGTTCAAGCGATTCTCCTGCCTCAGCCTCCTGAGTAGCTAGGATTACAGGCGCACCACCACACCCAGCTAATTTTTTGTATTTTTAGTAGAGATGGGGTTTCGCCATGTTGGCCAGGCTGGTCTTGAACTCCTGACCTCAAGTGATCCACCTGCCTCGGCCTCCCAAAGTCGCGAGATTACAGGTGTGAGCCACCGGCCCTACCAGGCTTCTAAGTAAGGACTCCCCATCCACTTGCCTGTTTAACATCATCACCCTCACTTCCTGGATGAGAAAACTGAGGTGCAGAGGTCTTTATTATGACCTGCTCCCAGCCACAGGTCTGGTAAGCAGTAGGATTAGGATTCAAACCCACGTCTCCTTGATGCTGTCTTCAATCCCGACCCCTCCACCGTGCTGCTTCCCTGCTCGCGAAGGTGGCAACGCCACTGAGGTGCCCTGTGCCTTAGATCTCCAGCATCCCTGGGAAGGGCTGAGGGCAACCCCCAAGCTCCAGTTTCACTAATGGGAAAGCCAGGGCCTATGACACTGGAATGAAAGCGTGTGGCGAGGGTAACGAGTGACTGTGAAGTTTGTAAAGCAGCTTCATGGTGATGTTTAACAAACTGGACGTTTTCTGAATGAGGATCTTGCATCGTCCAGTGGCAGTAGTGAGACTGAAGATGTCTCCCAAGCACAGAGACCACACTAACTCTCCCACTCCTCCCTGCAGCCCATCACCACGGGAGGGGTCACTTACCGGGAGCAGCCCTGGCACAAGGAGTGCTTTGTGTGCACCGCCTGCAGGAAGCAGCTGTCTGGGCAGCGCTTCACGGCTCGCGATGACTTTGCCTACTGCCTGAACTGCTTCTGTGACTTGTATGCCAAGAAGTGTGCTGGGTGTACCAACCCCATCAGCGGTGAGTGTCCCGGGGTCCCCACTTCGAAGAGGGATTGGAAGCTTGAACAAGGCCTAGCATTTTAGCATGTGACCCTGTCTATATCCCTAAACTTCCCAGACCTCCCTCAGGCTCTGAACACAGCAGACTTTTCTGCCTATCTGCTTTCCTCTCCTTGGTGCACTGGCTATGCTTCAGCAAGTAATGATTACTTCCTCTGCAGCCCACCGGATCACAACCATACGGCCTGTGCTCTGGTTTAGTTTCTGCTTTGGGTTGGATTATCTCTAAAACTGCAGCCTGTGAGCCTGTGACACCACATACGCACAATAAAAACTGGCCTTTTCAGGCTTAGCAGCTGTGCTGTTTTCTTAGAAGTGTGCCCTAGCATCTTAGGGGGACGGTTGTACTCCAAAGCATCTTAGTGGGAAATTTCTGCCACAAGGCCACAGCTATATGAGGGCAGAGGGTACATTCTAAGGAGTTTTTCATATTGTATTCCCCCAAAGAATCTGGCTAAGTGAGAGCCCAAAATCTGGCTGGCCGGCAGACCAGGCTTCTGGACTAGACTATTAAGCAGGCTGGAGAAATTCAGTGTGGAGAACAGATGACTTCACACTAAAGTCCTTTAGATGGTCACCACATATCACTACACAAATTAGTGACTGGGTGGGGAGAGAAAAGTGTGTATTCCATAATAACACAGGAGAAGTTTTATGATGTGGGATTTTCAATCCCACTGCATTCAGTGGACTGGTTCTTCCCTATCAGAGGAAGGTGGCAGACATGTGGAGTACCCGGTGGCCTGGCTTTCCTATGTGGCCTTTCAGTGTCATTACAGAAACACATCTATACACCCCCTGTGTGCTTGTCCTTGACTTTCTTTTCCCTCAGGCCTAGAACCAAGTTCACCTAACTGAGCTAAATCACCTTCCCAGGTCACTAAAACAGTTTTCTCATGTGTAAAGCAGAGCTCATTACATTTCCATGTGAAATTAAAATATGAAGAAAAGCATAGTATTTACAGTTTACCTATGTTAAAATATCTGTTTCTGGTCCTTTATGTACCACATTTCCCTTGGAATCATTTAGGGGGAAAATGCAATCTTTTGCCAAACATATTCATCTTTAATGCTGTTTTCAGCAGTAACTTCTGTTGAGGTAAATGTTTATAACATTAAGCTTTATAAAGTGATACAATCTATATAAAAGCACTTCTAAATGTAAAACGTTAGATATGAATGTGAATTGCGGTTATTGTAGCACTGAGAAAAAACACTAGGTAAAACCAACTGTATTATAATCAGGGACCAATGTACCTTAAATATTTGATTCCATTCTGTCTGTCTGCAGCTTTCTCAGGATCTTCCCGCTGCAACAATATTCCTCTGCCCTCATTCCTACCCACATCGTGCTTTATCTGTGAGGCTTTTCCTGGCCACCCCAGGGAGGATTAACTTTTCCTCTTCTACACTCCCTTCGGTGCTTCAATCATTAAATCACACAAATTTGAGCACCAGGCAACATGAGGCACCTAGTGAAGGCCTAAGAGGAATCTGCTTCCTGTTCTCACAGAGTTTCATTTTGTGGGAAAACACATAACAAATACAGTCAGCTTTCTTTGACGCACTTCTCACATCATTTTGGAACTAGTTTCTATCTCTCTTCTGATATTCACGAGATCCTCCAGGCTGTGCATAGAATCTGATTTATACATGGATTCCCAGCACCCAGTCACTAGAAGTTCACACTATCCATATTACACAATCCAAACTTTGAAATGGATCAAACCACAATTCCTTCTTCAGTCCCAGTTGCCTGATTCTAATTTTCTTCATCCGGTATTATTTTCTCTCTGTTAACAGGACTTGGCGGCACAAAATACATCTCCTTTGAGGAACGGCAGTGGCATAACGACTGCTTTAACTGTAAGAAGTGCTCCCTCTCACTGGTGGGGCGTGGCTTCCTCACAGAGAGGGATGACATCCTGTGCCCCGACTGTGGGAAAGACATCTGAAGTCAACACGGAGAAGTTGCTGCTTGTGATCTCACACACAGATTTTTATGTTTTCTTTCTCACCCAGGCAATCTTGCCTTCTGGTTTCTTCCAGGCACATCGAGACTTTCTTCTAGTGCTTTTCAGTGATACTCACGTTTGCTTCAACCCTTTAGTGCTTTGTGCTAGTTCAGTCCCAGGGAAAGAGAAAACTCGCCCTAGGCCCTAGGTGGGAAGATGGTTTGAAATTTTTGTAATCGAGTAAGGCACACCCAAATGTAAAAATCCTTTTGAATGATGTCTTTATAAATCTTTCTCTCACTGCCTATTTAAGTGCAATTAATGTATGCCACGAACTTGAAAGTTTTCTAAACTCAGTAAGGTAATGACCAATTGGTATTTACAGCTCTGTAACTTCCTGTTGTGTCAAGTCTAAACCAAGATTATGTGACTTGCAATAAAGTTATTCAGAACAAAATCTTCTGACAGGCACAGTGTGTGAAATCATGATTAAAGGTTGAGGCACTGAGTCTAAGTAACACTTCATTGCATGGTCCAATGGTCACTGTATGAAGTGCAGTTCCAATGGCCTGGGGCATTGCCAACTGGAATAGCATCACATCACACCCTTTATTTAAAGGAAGCCTTCAGTCAACACCAGGCACCTCTTCCTTGCTACCTTCTCTCCCAATTTTTTTTTTTTTTTTTGAGACAGAGTCTCACTCTGTCACCCAGGCTACAGTGCGATGGCACAATCTCGGCTCACTGCAACCTCCGCCTCCCGGGTTCAAGCGATTCTCCTGCCTCAGCCTCCTGAGTAGCTGGGATTACAGGTGCCCACTACTAGGCCGGGCTAATTTTTGTATTTTTGGTAGAGATGGGGTTTCACCATGTTAGGCTGGTCTCGAACTCCTGACCTCAGATGATCCACCTGCCTTGGTCCCCCAAAGTGCTGGGATTACAGGTGTGAGCCACTGCACCCGGCCACCTCCTCTCTCTTTCCCATACTCTTTCTCTTGGAATGTAATCCTCTGCATTTGATGCAGTAACATCAACTCCTGACAGTGAAGCCAATGTTCAGGTCATTTTTCTTGGCAGGGCTTCCTGGCTCTGTCCCAGTGTTACGGATCCACATCTTACACCGACTTCCATAAAGTGAAAGACTGCACAAGGACATAAGCAACTTGAGGCCAGAGACAACATCCTATTCATCTTTATGTTCTCAACACCCTCGCAACTGAGGGCACACTGGGAGCCTTCAGTGCTTCTGAAAAGGGCAGTAAAGCAGGAGGGACACACAGTCATTACAATAAAAATAACATTCGGAGCTCGTGTGGCAGTGGTCTGTGAAATAATCTCAGACAGCAGTACACAGTTGGGAAGCACAGAGCCAAGGTATGGGATAGGGCACTGCACAGTTCTCTTTAGCATCAGTGACGTTTTTGTCCTTAGTTTTCTAAGACAACGCAATATAATAAAATGATACGCTAAGCAACAGAAAAATTTGGTGGAAATCAAGTCTGATATATGCTGGGCATATGTGACATCAGTTTCTTAATCTGAGTGGTAGTCACTGTTAGAATGTTCGATAATGTCTGGAATGAGTCTTTTGGATTTATAGTTGGCTTGAGGTTTTGCTTAAAAAGAATAATTTCATCCCTTGTTAGTTGTTTTGCTGTTTTCTATTTCATAAAAGTAAAAGCACTCCAAATTTCATTTTGGAACATCTTACTGTTCTCATTAAAACCACAGACTCTCCCAACCTTAAATTACCCATTCTAAAATTAATGGTTAGGGGGAATTCCACTTCTAGTAAATAGCTCCAATTGGACTAATTCTCCTTCAAATTAACAGTCATTCTGGACAAAATATTTATTTAATTGTTGAGAACACTGGTGCACGATCCAAAGCAGGCAGATATTGGAGGCGGGTAGACACTTGGAAGAAGAGAATGACACTGGGTGATTTTCCTGTTTCGCCCTTTTATCCAACGGCAGCCCCCCGCCAGGGATCTAAAACTCTGTTAGGAAACCTGCAGTCTTACTAGCCTGAGGAACCAGAGGCCAGAGTTTGGGATAAACAGCCTCTGGAAAGTGAGGAAGAAAATCCTGAAAAGGAGAGCCCCAAGTGTGTTGCATGAACTTAGAAATTTCTGGCTGACAACTGAACCGTGTATACTTAGGCCAGACTCCAAGCAGCCCAGCCAAGGCTTAAAGCATTGACTGCCAGGACTTTATGGATAGTGGTGTGCAGGGCTTAGCTGACCAACCCTCTTCCTACTGAAGGAAATTACTTGTATATAAACCACACAACGCAAAGTCTCTGAAAATTTCCCCAAAGGCATGTAACAAAATAAACATTCATTCAGGAAAATCCACTACGAAGTCTTAGGAAGAACAGTGAGTCTGTGGCATTTGAGCCACAGCCTCATCCCATCTCATCCCCACTCCCCAGCTTCATGTGACAAACTCTACTTTGGGCCAATGCAGCCAAAAATTAAGGGGGTCTTTCTTCCCCCAGATACTGGTCTAGGGCTCTGCCCCAGGTGCCACAGGCTGAGAATCCTAGAGCTCCAATTGCCCCTACCCTAGCCTGCCAGTGCGGAGGCTCCACACTGGGAGGCGCAATCTCAGAAGACCGGTGGCTACCAACCCACTCACAGAGAAGGCGTGTCACTCCCGGAGAAGCAGGCCACTGTCCAGCCCCCAGGGGAGAGCCAGGCTCTGAGACTGGCAACTCAGCAGTTCCGCCCAAGGGGGCTCGTATTTGGTACCGAGAATTGAGAAATCTTTGCCTAAGGGGATTGTCAAAAACAGTAAGACATCTTTCCAGAGAACCATTAAGGAAGGGGCTGGTAACTCCGTGCTATTAGTAGCAAAAAGCAGAATGACAGACCAGCCAGAAGTTTAACATGGAAAAGCAGAGAAAGAGCCAAGAGGAGCCCTCCTGGAATCTTGTTTATCCTTGAGGTTCGGGAAGTATGTATGGACTGGGCTGTATCCACTCAGGAGCAATCAGATGTCCAACAAACGTGAAAGCATTCTCCAAGGCATACACAGGTCCATCAGCAAAGAGCAGAAATCTTATGGGCTCAAAGTGCGTAAGCAGAACCTCTGACCAAACACTGGCTGAACATAAAAACACGTCTGTTCAAAGAACTAAAGGAAATCATATCTAAAAAAGGAAGGTTAGAGAACAATTATAGTTGGTCCTCCATATCCACAGATTCCTCATCTGTGGATTCAACCAACTGTGGATCAAAAGTATTCAGGAAAAAAAAAAAATGTTGACACAGTTCCAAAAAAGTAAAACTTGGATTTTCCACATGCTGAGTCCTATGTTGAATCCATGCAGATGAAGTGATGTGTAGGCACTGTATTAGGTATTATTATAAGTAATCTAGAGATTATTTAAAGTATACGGAATGATGTGAATAGGTTATATGCAATTCTATGCCATTTTCTGTAAGAGACTTGAGCATCCATGGAGTTTGGTATTTGTAGGGGGTCCTGGAATTAATCCCCCACAGATACCAAGAGATTACTTTACTCACCAAACAAACCAATGAAGAGATAAAAATTATTTTTAATAAATCAAATGGAATTCTGAAGTTGAAAAATATACTAAATGAAATGAAAAATTCACTAGAGGGGGCTTAATAGTAGATTTGAATTGGGAGAGGAAAATCAGTGAACTTGAAGATGGAACAACAGAAATTATACAATCTGAAAAACAGCAAAAAGAGTGAAATGAAAAGAGCTTCAGAGAAAGGTAAGAAACCATTAAGCATACCAATATATGTGTAATGGAAGGACTAGAAGGACTAGAAGGCTAGGAGAGAGAAAAAAAGAACAGGAGAAAATATTTTTCAGAGTTAATGACGAGCCAGGCGCAGCGGCACGTGCCTGTTGTCCCAGCTACTCAGGAGGCTGAGGTGGGAGAATTGCCTGAGTCTAGGAGTTTGAGGCTGCAGTGTGAGAAAACAGCACCTGTGAACGGCCACTGCACTCCAGCCTGCACAACATAGTCAGACCTTCTTAAAACAGAAAAAGAAGAAAAACAGTTAGTGGTTGAAAAAGCCTCCAAATTTGATTTGATGAAAAATATGAATCTACATATTTAAGAAGCTCAATAAACTCAAAGTAGGATACATGCAGAGACCATACCCAGACACATCACATTCAAAGTGCTGAACACCAAAGATAATGAGAAAACTGGCTAGATGTAAAATAATATAGCTATATGATTAAGACTTTTTATTAAATTGGGAAATTAAACATACATATACAAAAGTACACAAAACAAATGCTAACAGGCAAAACTAAACCAACGAGATGTTGGAAATACTCTGTATTATGGGTTGTAAACTATGGTCCCTGGGCTAAATTCTGCCCACTGCCTGTTTTCTTTCCTAGTTTATTTTTTAGGGACAGGATCTCGCTCTGTTGCCCAGGCTGAAGTGCAGTGCCATGATCACAGCTCACTGTAACCTTGAACTTCTGGGCTCAAGTGATCTTCCCACCTCAGCCTCTCAAGTAGCTGGGACTACAGGCACGCACCACCATGCCCGGCTGTGTGTGTGTGTGGGGGGGGTGGGGGGTTGTCATTTTGAGATGGAGTTTCGCTCTGTCACCCAGGCTGTAGTGCAGTGGCATGATCCTGGCTCACTGTAACCTCCACCTCCTAGGGTCAAGCGATTCTCCTGCCTCAGCCTCTCGAGTAGCTGGGATTACAGGCACCCGCCACCACACCCAGCTAATTTTTGTATTTTTAGTAGAGACAGGGTTTCACCACACTGGCCAGGCTCGTCTTGAACTCCTGATCTCAGGTGATCCACCTGCCTCGACCTCCCAAAGTGCTGGGATTGCAGGTGTGAGCCACCACACCTGGCTGATGCATGGCTATTTTAAAAATTTTTTGTAGAGATGAGGTCTCACTATGTTGCCTAGGCTGGTCTCAAACTCCCGGGCTCAAGTATCCCCCCATCTTGGCCTTCTAAAGTGCTGGGATTACCAGCATGAGCCATCACACCTGGTTTTCTGTTTTCTTAAAAAAACAACAAAAAACAGTTTTGTTCAAACACAGCCATGTATGTTCATTTATGCATTGGCTTGCTGGCAATTTTCTACTGCCTGGACCATTACAGAAAAACGTGCCACCTGTGCTGTACTGTGTATCTTGTTCTGGGTAGTGATACACACACACACACACACACACACACACACACATTTTTTTCTCCTGAGCTATATAACTTAGAACTTTTCTAACTTTACAGCATTTTATTATAACTCAATAAAAATTTTAAAAATTTATAGTATGTTACACTTTGAACTTGAGTTCACTTGAGTATACTTTGAGTTACTTTAAAGCTTGTCTTTTTTTTTTTCATTAAACAGCAAGCCAACTCGTTTGATCTTTGATTATTACAATATGTGAAACCTTTGGGGGTCAGTCTCTACTGCCTGATGTTTCTGTTGC